TACAGTCAAACCTGTTTATACCGGACGTGTATATACCGGAATCTCTTTATATCGGACAGATTCTTGTGAACCGTTCGTTTCATATGAAAATTCTTTGTTTATACCGGAAATCTCTTATAAATCTCCATATACCGCATCCGGAAGAATTTTAAAGGATCAGCTAGTGCAAATCGCTAATAGAAAATTTTCTTTATACCGGAAAGAACACGTGATACGGCGTATTTACGATATGAGTTCATTATATTTTCTGTCGCTTTACTTGATACATCTCTTTCTTTATTTTATAAAATGTTAATAAAAAGACGAAAAGATCAACCTTTATCTGATAAATCAAAACGGAGTCGAATTTCTTTAACATCTTTACAAAAACGAGAGATATGTGTCGTTAAATGTGAATATCCGCATCTCACGCTAACAGACCTCGCAACACGATTTAAATGTGGAATTAGTACTGTTGGTGATATACTTAAAGAAAAAGAACGTTGGTTGGCAGTTCAGAATGACAGTCCAGATGCTAATGTCAAAAAAAATCGCCCTCCCAAATGGCCAAGGCTAGAAGAAGCAATGACCATTTGGATCGAACGCATCTTCCTTGGTAATCAGGACATTGACGGCGCGGCATTACTTAATAAAGCGGATAAATTTGCATCGTCACTTGGAATAACAAATTTTAAGGCGTCTGAAGGATGGCTCGCTGGTTTTAAACTAAGACATGGAATAAAATCATACCTTAAGCATGGTGAATTGTTAAGTGTCCCGTCACAGCAAGAGATTGACACTGAACGTTTAAAACTCAAAGAAGTTTTGAAGAATTGGGAACCGTATAACATTTTTAATTGCGACGAAACCGCACTGTATTGGGCGCGAGAGCCAAATCGAGTCTTATCTCGGTCTCAAATTAGTGGAAGAAAAAAATCAAAAGCTCGTATCACGGTCCTTTTAACCATGAATGCTACTGGTACTGAGAAATTAACACCGCTAATAATCAATAATGCCAAGACACCACGATCTTTGAAAGGGATAAACATCAACAATCTTCCAGTCGATTATTACTGGAATAAGACAGCATGGATGCAGGTTGGGTATTTGCGCTATTTATGGATGACATTACACTATCCATACTAAAAATTTAATCTCAATTCGTAGGAGTCAATTTATGTTGATTGGCTTACCAAATTCGATGCTCAACTACGTCGACAAAATCGACAAATAATCTTACTCATGGACAACGCAACCTCACACAAGAAAATTGACAGTCTTACGAACATAGTCTTACATTTCCTACCCCCTCGAACAACATCCGTGTTACAGCCTTGCGACGCAGGCATAATTTCTGCTTTCAAATCTCACTACAGACGTATGTTCATTCAGAATAGGGTAGATGCATACGATGCATCAATGGATAATAATACCGAATCCATTCCGTTTACTATTAAAGATGCAATATATATGGTAGCCAATGCTTGGGGCGGAGTTAGTCAACAGGTTATTGTAAATTGTTGGAAAAAAACTAGAATTTTACCTCTTTCAAATGAAATTGAAGAGACAGAGCGAACTTCTGAGGAAGAGCGGATTGATGACTTTGTATCTATGGAGAGACTGTTTAACAAATTGCCATATGATAACCGGATATCGGTTGAAGGTAATTATAAATAATCTTAATCTCAATGCATAGCTAATTACTTATATAATTGAAATTTTTATAGAATATTTATCTTGTGATAACAATATTCCTGCGGAGGAGTTGATTACGGATGAGGAGATAATTGAAGTAATTCTTGAGGAAGACGATACACAAGTTGAGAATAATACAAATGAAGAAGCGGAAATAAGACCAACCATCTCTCTCCACCAGGCAGTTACTGCTTTGAAAACACTAACACAATTTTTACAGTATTCAACCGGACCGGAGATTCTACCAGAAGACATTGCTGTATTTTATAGGGTACAGAGATTAATGGAATTAAAGTACACAGAGAGTCTTAAACAAAAAACTTTAGATAGTTATGTTAATAAGGGCTAACATTCGCATACTTGTATACATGAGAAGTTAACACGCTTTCTGATATATAAATAAACAACAACATATTATTGGTCCATTTCTATATACCGAAGATCACATGATTTTTTCTTTTTTCCGGTATATGCACATATACCGGAATCTCGTTATACCGGACGCTAAGAGCTGGACCAAACCGTCCGGTATAAACAGGTTTGACTGTA